CCACAAACTCCTACCAAATCTAGCCCTATAAGTCTATTGTTGCGGCTACCAGTATACTTAACCCAGACTCACTACTTGTAGGAAAGTAATCCATACTCGTCCTACATCACATATACTTCCATATATGGCCATTTCATCCTTATGTAATGACTTTAATAGGAAAGCATAATTAAATTCTGTAGGGTGACTTCAGTGCTTTTGAAAGGGTTCAATCAAAGCATTGCAAGACTGAACTTTGGAGCTCAATTGGCCTCACCTTCTAGAAGTTCAATCATAATGAGAATGATTGGAAAAACAAGCATCACCATTCCTCAAGGCTTAACATCACCAAAAGTCAGGCATTATATATATATATATACATTTATCCTTTTAATACAAATTGGAGTCCTAGATTGTAGGCTTAAAGCATAACAAGAAGGATAAAGCAGAGCAAAAATGCTTCCCATATGGAATGTAATACCAAAAGTAACTTCTCAAGCATTAAAGTTCAAAAGTTAACATTCCACCGCAGCATATAAACATGCATAGGAACACATATGAGCACATCATTTAGAATAAAAGAAAACAAGATTTACATGGATAAAAAATGCTACTTCTACCTGAGAAAATAAAATGATATAGGTTTTATTCAATTAGGTACCTTTTGAAAGCTTAATGAGAACCAAACTACTAGCATTTACTGTGGACTGGAGCATTGGTCCCAAAACATGGGTTGGACACACTCTTACAACATCAAGCCCACTTCTTTTCGCATACTCAAAAGCCTCACTTTCTGCTTTTGTTTTGGAAAGACAATACCAATTCTAGGACAAAGAACCAGAAAATCAATATAAATATAGAAAACATTAGCATGGAACCTACAATTTTAAAAAGCTTTGAATAATATCAAGAAGAAATGCACTACAATCGCAACATAATCATTACAAGTTTAAAGTTGGCTTGTTTAATTGATTACATTAGTTCTTTTGCAGTATTCCGCATCAGACCAACAAGTCTCATCCTTCACTTGACCCTTGGGCCATTCAGGGTTCAAGGAAACAGCAGCTCCAGAAGATACAACCACCACTCGTTTGACATTTGCTTCAGAACATGCCTTGAGTACATTAAGAGTACCCTTCATAGCAGGCTCAATTAGTTGCACCTGCACTAAAGCTATTAGATACTATGGAAGTAAAATAACTCACCAAACTCGTAACACATTAAAGTCCCATTGAAGATAAACATTCAATGATTACACATGTCATCACATTTCAATCCTGTGACGCACTTCTTTACCTGTGGATTAACTTTTACTATCACAGATGCAACCAGGGGTTTACAGCAATCAAGAAGCCCACAGTTATGCATTCAACAACTTCATGGACCCAATTTATGAGAGTAACTGTACAAAATGCCAGCAACTCCCCTAAGTGACATGCCACATTGATCCCCAAATGGTGAGAAGCAGGGAAAGGTGCTAACACTTTAATAGACAAGTGCACATAAAGAAACTAGTCCAAGAGTGTAAAATACAATTAGGAACTTGGAACATAGGAACAATAACAATGATTGGAAAGAGAATGAATAATTTTTTTTTTACAAGAAACAAATGGGCAAAGGAAAATCTACGTACAAGGCGATGGAAATAGATGATGAGATTGGTATGTAAGAGATATAACAGTGGTTAGAGAGGCGATGGAAAGTTGAGGAGAGGGAGAGGGAGAGGGATAGGGATAGGCATAGGGATTGGGGGACTTACGAGGATCTCTGACGGTTCCATGGATGGAGTAACCATTAGAGAGAAGAAGCTTCACCAACCAAGAAGCTACGTACCCTCCCGCCCCTGTCACGCACACTGTGCCCTTCTCTTCCGCCATTCACTCGCTGAGTCAACCACTACTACGCCCTACAGCCACCACAACCCACTCATACTGCCCTCACCTCATCAAAAACACACAAGTCTTATAAAAAAGATAATTACGAGTCGGTTACGGAGGCTTTTCCATATTAAGTCTATTTTGTATCTTAATTTTTAAATTAGGTCTAGTTTGGACAGAATTCTCAAATCAAGCTAAAGCGTTATTACAAATCGCACTTTCACTGTTTGGGGCCGAAAAGTTGATTAACATTGAAAGCGCTATTCGAAATCGCGCTTTTAATTAAGTAAGCGTGGTTGCAAACCATGCTTTTAACATAAATTTTTTTTCTGAAAAAACGTGATTTCAAACCACGCTTTCACTGTGCATCCCATTTTAATTTGTGTTCTGAATTTCACAGTGCATATAATTTTTTTTTTTCCTGAAGAAAGCACTATTCAAAATCAAGCTTTTACTGTTCACTACAAGAAGCGTGGATTGAAACCACGCTTTCACTGTTCATTTAATTTAAATTTTTTTTTTCTGTTGTCATTGTTTTTGGTGGTAATGTAATTCATTAAAAAAAAAATTTCTTTTGCCTTTGTTTTGGGTTTGAAGGTGTAATTGAGAAATTTTTTTTTTTGTCTTTACTAAAACCGTTTTCATGTAATTTTTTTTTTATTTTTTTGTTTTGGGTTAGAAGGTGATAATGTAATTTATAAAATGTTTTTGGCTTTACTAAATTTTTTTTTGGCTTTACGAAAAAATATGTATTAAAAAATTATATAAATTAGTGTATAGGAGAAGATTTGGTGGAATAGGCGGTATAGTGGGCTGAATCCAAGGATAGCGTCGGCAGAGTAGAGGCTAGGAGATGATTTCCTGCTTTTTGGGCATTGAATTGGAGGTGCTGTTTGGCCCGTGGAGGTGCTGTTTGTTTTACAGGGCGACAGCAACGGGCTCTAGGGGAGTGCGACGGAGGATCCGGATTCATTTTGGCAACGCAGACAGAAGCCACAGAGAGAGAGAAAGAGAGAGTGACAGATTCTTTCCTATTCCTTGACCAACTACGCCGTGCCACCTCATGTTTTGATTGAGATCTCCCGCCACTTGGCCGATGATACCCGAGTACTAACAATAAAAGACTCATTTTACCTCTCTTGCCTATGCTCTCTGCTACCCTTCCTTGTGGGGTCTTTCTACTAGTATTACCATATCTATCAACATTTTTTTTCACCAATTTTACACTACATTTTTTTTCACCAATTTTACACTACATTTTTTTTCACCAATTTTACACTGATTTATTTAGGACTGAGCATGAAATCCATGAAATTCATAATCTGATTCAGTTCAGTCCAATTTGATAGATTTAGATTGATTTTTTTAATCTGTGGTTCAGTTCTAGATTGAACTCCACGATTCCGAATTCGAACCGATCCAGACCATATATAAATAGTCTATATTTTTATTATACACCATACCCCATAGTATCTTCTCTTATTCCATATAAAACCTAAACCCAAACCTAAACTCGCGTAGGATCTTTTTTTATTACTTTTGTTTGTTAGTTTTTAGTTTTAATCTGTAATGGTCTTAATACTTATGGTGAAACTAGTTTTCTTATGGTTGTTTAAATTCTAGAACAATATGTCACTATTATAGAAAGATATGTTGCTATTGTGAAACTAATATAGTGTTATGTTTATGTTCTTATGAAATTAAAGTGTTATATATATTTTTTTGTTACTTAATTATGTGAATCTGTGATAATAAACCGATCCAATCTGTGTTTAAATGGATCGGTTTAGATTGGTTTCAAAATTTAAACGGATTGGATCGATTTCAATTTTTCAAGAACCGTAGATAACGGATTGGTCTTGGTTTTACCTCAATCCGGTCCAATCCGGACCATGCTCGCCCCTAGATTTATTCATTTAAATATCAATTATAAAATAAATTTTAATTATTCAATAACAAAAAATTAAAGCCTCATTTGACAACTCAGTGCTTTAGCCTAAAAATCAAAAAATTAGTAAAAAAACTAAAAAGCCAGCATTTTATACCAAAAAATCAAAAGATCTCTTTTCTCTCTACTTTTTGCACATCTTTTCATAAAAAATTAAAAAGTCATTCCAAACATACTAGTTTTTTTTCCTAAAATAATATGTTCCCAAACGAGGCCTAATTGCTTCAATAAACTCTTTTTATTACTACATAAAAAGTAAAAAAAATAAAAAGTTCAAACAAAATTGAGTTATGAGGCAACATTACCTTCAAAATAAAAGAAAATTTTGTGTGCAAGAAACGAAATTAAAATTGAAATAAAAATACTAGGTTGTATGAGAAATTTTCATATAAAAAAAAGTTGTATGTTTTTTATTTTTTATTTTTTTTTTGTTTAAGTAGTATATTCTGTGCGCTTTCCACCTTTCTCATCATTTGGTGAAGTATCTCTGTATTTTTTTTAATGAAATTATGGCTCATTTTTTCATTCAAGGAAGAACTCTTCCAGTGTTAAGGTTTGACTCCCATGGAGCTGGACCACAAACAAGGGTAACCTCTGTGATTGTACAATTGTTGCTGTGGATTTTTTTTTATATTTAAAAATATATACATTGGAATACAAATACAACTTTTGAAATAAAATATCAGAAAGAACTTACGCACGCACGTACGTTGGGAGAGTAAAAACCCTTGATTTTCTAGTGAGATAGAAGATCAAGTGCTTCGGCTAACCGGGTATATCAACGGGGGTTATGCTCTAGCAAAATGGGGTTATGGAGCCAACCAACCAATACTTCCTACTTTTACTTCCAGACCCCTTCATATGTATGTCCCCTTATTATACGTTACTCAGCACAAGAAACCAAATAACCCAATAATGGATAGGAAAATCTACAGGAAGTGTTGTTCTTTATATGGTTCACGGTTTCCAGGATTAACTGAATTACAGAACATGAGGTATTACTTGTTAGAACAATCTTCTGTGTAAAAAAAATAAATTGAAACTAAATCAAACAAAATAAAATAAATAACTTACAGAATTTATTTTTTTGAACTGAATGAAAAATAAAAGACCAAGTCGAGTGTGTGACACTCTGTTCTTAAGACAAATTCGCCCTGGTTCGGTGCTTCCGGACTAATGGCGTCTATCTCCCAGGATATAATTATCTTCACAAATTTATAGTAGCACTCCAAATAAATTTGTCCGGCGAACTAGAACCTTGTGTTCTATACTCTCTTTAATTTTTCTCTAAAACTAGAATGAAGAATGAAGAATAAATAATGCAAACAGAGCAAAGTTGGACAGCAAGAAAATCAATTTTTTCTGTCTATTTTCTGGATGCAAAGACTGCAGAGCAGATCTGAATTTATAGGCATCTAAGACTGCCGAACAGGTGCAGTATTTTGAACTGAACAGGTAAGGTTTCAAATGAACAAGTGCAAACACCAATTGAACAGATAACTGCTGGAAATAAGATCTGTTTGAACTGTGTGAACCTATCGAACAGTGCAGATTTGGAACTGTAACTGCTGGGCAGTTATGAGCAGTTTTATACAGTTAATCTGTTGAAAATACAAACTGAATTTGGTAATATATGGACAGAAAATTAATTTCAATTTTGACACAAAATTGGAATTTAATTTCATTAAGATTTTCTGAAAAAAATTTAAATAAATTTTATCCAAAAAATTAATATCAGAACCGACCCACAACCGCGCACGGCTCGGCTCGGTCTGACGGGCGACGGCGCGCGTGTGGTAGTTTGGGCTAAAGTTCCATTTGTTCATAACTCCTCCCTTCTACAAACTTGGGGTGCCCCTTGGGGCCCAACCCAAGTGTTGTAGTCTAGAGCTTATATACAACAAAAAAACTTTCTTAAAGTTTCAATGTGGGACAACCCATTTTAAGGAAATCCACATTTAAATCTTTAAATGTCCATTCCACGAACCTGAAAACGACGACGACCTCAACTTCCCATTCACTCATAAATGGTTTTGACGAACCGTCTTCACCGTGTGACTTGCCACGCGGCAAGGAACACGTCACCTCTTCAGACCCACCCTAAAAGACGTTTGGAGCCCACTCCATTTTGGGCTCAAAGTTGGCCCAAAATAAGCCTTATAAACCAAATTTTCCAACATTACTCGTATTTCAGGACGACAGCTTCAAGAATACCATCAGATCTGAAGTGGGGTGAAAAAAGCCTTGGATCAACAGGTCCCGGCGGACTGAAAGAAAGTGTGAATGGTCCGGGTGGGCATTGTTGCTGAAATTTCATTTCATAAATACGGGAATGTCTCAAAACAGTTTTTCCACCAGTTGATGTCACACCCCGTACATGGACCTTTCCATCACGTTCAATCTCACAGCTGAACTGACCTGCTAGAATAGATGCTATCAAGTTCTTAGAAGTAAAAACAGAGTCCTGTAAAGAAAGCCACCAAAAGAGCAAAGAAAAAGATTTTTTAGATCACTCAAATGAAATACAATTACATTATCGCAAATGCAAGACAGATTTTGGTTTTAACTCGTGAAAGACTAAAAATAGAAGATCATGCATACCATGTGTGTACATGTTTCTTGGAGCAAAAGAGTAGTCATAGTTATTAACTAAATT